AGTAGAGACGGGGTTTCACCGTGTTGACCAGGATGGTCTCGATCTCTTGACCTCGTGATCCACCCGCCTCGGCCTCCCAAAGTGCTGGGATTACAGGCGTGAGCCACCACGCCCGGCTGGATTTTGTTCTATTATCGGTCTACTACAGCCTGCCCTAAGAGCAGACAGCCTGGCAAGGAAGAACGGGGCTTTACCCTTGTCTCTTCAATAATGGCAGATAGTAAAGACCAGAGTCATCTTCTCACTTGCCCAGAATACATTAACTGGCTTATATGAGTCGCAATATCAAAGACTTAACTCTGAAAATCTCCCTGTATGTTAAGAGCTTGGGCGTCTTTATGAACCTACACAGCTCTTCCTCCTAATATTCTCTTCATCCAATTCTCTCGGGCTGATCACGGAGCCAGGTCACAGCTCAACAGCATCTCCCACGCCTCCCAGTTGTGTGTTTTCCCAGATTCCTCTCATATTGGTTTAGGTTTGCTTCCTCTTTTGGTAGCGTGAATTGGGTGCAAGATGCTTTTTAAAAATCTTTGCTGCTTTTTAGTCCCAAGCGAAAATGTGTATCTTTCTTTCTTGCTCTTCAGTTTTAGTGTCTGGCTGATACCGATTGTGCAAGGAGGAATTTAAAACATGGCAGCTCATCTTCAAGGATGGCAAAAAGGGAATGCAAACAGCAACTCTGCCCCATGAGAAAATGGTGCCACCCATGACAGGGACAGAAGGCTCTACCTCATTCTTCCACTTAAGATGCCCATGGGTGGACCGGGCACAGTGGCTCACACCTGTAATCCCAGCACTTTGGGTGGCTGAGGTGGCACGTCGTGAGGTCAGGAGTTTGAGACCAGCTCGGCCAACATGGTAAAACTCTGTCTCTATTAAAAATAAAAAAAATTGGCTGGGCCTGGCAGAGGCGCCTGTAATCCCAGCTACCCAGGAGGCTGAGGCAGGAGAATCGCTTGAAACGGGAAGGCTGAGGTTGCAGTGAGCTGAGATCATGCCATTGCACTCCAGCCTTGGCAACAGAGCAAGACTCAAGAGATGCCAATGGGTGGTCCTGAGAGCATGCCTGGGAGAAGAACATGGGCAAAATCTATGTCCAATATGTATCGGGGAGAAGCCAAAGGCGATAATTACCTAGGCCACGGGTCAAGTTCAAATGTGGTGTCATCATGCAAGCAATGTTTGGGGTCCCTCAAACATTCACATAAACTGGAGTCCTTCATGTTTATTAACTGTCTCCATGGATTCTTCACCTATCACCTTCCTCTTCAAGGTGTATGGGGTCATTCGTGAAATCTACATTCTTCCGCACTGGTTCTGAAACCAAGCCCTCACATTCTAACCACATCCAAGCTCATTTAGAAGTTCCCTGGGGGCATGAAAAAGCAACTCAATAATACTTCTCATCAGGGGAAGTGTGCTTCCAGAAAAAGCGTGCTTTAAATATCTGTGAATGAGTCATTCATGCATCCCCTTCCAGTGATCTCCAGTCCCCACAAGCCCCAGATCCCATTCTTCCCCACACACTCCCTCTGCTATGCTCCTAACAAGTCTTACCTGGTCCAACTCCCACTTTGACGATATCTGCTCCAGAAAGAATAAGCTCTTCTACCATTTCTCCTGTCACCACGTTTCCTGCCTGAGACAGAAAGAATACAGCTCATGATCATCAATTACTATTGCTCTTAGGAAGGTCAGGAATGCCACACCCAAACAGGATGCTGTGCATGCCCTAAAGCCACCCAGGCAGCTGGGGGACAAAAAAAAAACCACAGAGTTTGATACCTGGAGACCACTTTTGGGAAAGGCTCCTGGGTGAGGTGTTGGCATAGAAGATACAGCGTTATATAATTTAAAAACTAGAAGAGATCTTAGAGCGTCCAGGTCAGGGCCTTTAGGACATCCAACAACAATAACAAAAATCTTAGAGGGAAACAAATACAGAAAATCAGCAACGAAACACTCTCTTGGTGATTAAAACATTTAGTGTTGGGCAAAAATGCTTCCCGGTTTGCAAAACCCCTGAAGAATTTCTATGGAACCCCAGAGTCAGAATTAGAAAACAGTTAAGAAAATAGCAGTGTGCCCCACTCTCTAGGGCTGGGATTCCCATCTAGACAGGAAAGGGCAGATGAGCCCTCATGGACCACATAGCATCAGCACGTGCTCAGTTTACAGAACATGAAGCTTTGGCCTAAGAATAAACAATCAAGCCTCCAGGAAGTGGCAAAATCTATCAACCAGAAGAATGTGTCTGGTTTGGAAATAGTACAAGTTCTTTCACTGCAGGAGTCTAGGAGTACAAAAATAGTCCTTTTCATTACAACTCACTGCCCTGTGGATTCTTCAGCCAGTATATAGGATCCTTGGCAAGGTGCCCTGGCTGAGTTTTCACAACCGTGCAAAGTCATATTTTGCAAAACGAATCCTTACTCATTCCACTCTTTTTTTTTTTTGCACTGAAACCCAAGTGTCTTCTCTGTGAATTGCTTCCCAGAGGGAATTTTTCTTTTTTGACCTAGACAAAGTGACCTTTAACTTCATATAAAAGGATGTGGCAAAAAAGTGATGAGGAGGGCTCAAAGTTACTTTAATCCAAACAGCAGCTGACAATGGAAAAATCACAGATGGTCCAGAGACAGGACTAGAGGCAGATTAAAGAGTTAAAATTAAAGTTACACTCCCCAAATTCAGAAGGAAACCTGAATACTTGCAACAAGCATAAAGGTAGAAAAATGTAACAATAGAGCTGTCTACATAAAAAGTGAAAACTTGGCCAGGCACAGTGGCTCACACCTATAATCCCAGCATTATCAGGAGGCTGAGATAAGTGGATTGCTTGAGCCCAGGAGTTCGAGACCAGCCTGGGCAACATGACAAAACCCTGTCTCTACATTTAAAAAA